CTAGAACGGGAAGGGCAGAAGGCTCTTCATGTTTGGGTTGGGAGGGAGCTGAAAGATTTTGGAATTCCAACCCCCTGCCATGGGTAGGGACACCTTCCACTAGCCCAGGTTGATCCAACCTGGCCTTGGACACTTCCAGGGATGGGACAGCCACAGCTTCGCTGGGAATTCCATTCCAGACCCTCACCATCCTCCCAGCAAAGAATTCCTTCCCAACATCCCATCTAAAGCTCCCATGTTTCAGTTTGAAGCCATTCCCTGTGTCCTATCTCTCCATCCCTTGTCCCAAGTCCCTCTCCAGCCCTCCTGGAGCTCCTTTAGGCCCTGGAAGATGCTCTCAGGTCTCCCTGGAGCCTTCCCTTCTCCAGGTGAACATTCCCAGCTCTACCAGCCTGGCTCCAGAGCAGAGGAGCTCCAGCCCTTGGAGCATCTCCGTGGCCTCCTCTGGACTCGCTCCAGCATTCCCAAATCCTTCTGCTGTCGTTCCCCAGGGCTGGAAGTAGCTCTGCAGGTGGTGGTGGGGGGTGGCAGAGGGGCAGAATTCCCCCTTTTCCTGGTGCCCATGCTGTGGAATGAGCCCAGGCCATGAACACAGGGATTTTCTGGGATGTGAGCCCACACATGGATGGCTCATCCATGGGACAATCCCACCCAAATCCTTCCCTAATTAAGAGCAAGGACCTCCAGAGGGGAAATTTAGGGGAACACTCAACCCTTTCCTTGAGGAATCCCACAGCTCCCATCCCCTTCCAGAGCCTCCATGTCTCCATCCCTTCCCTCCCTCCAAGGATCAGCCCTTTCCCAACACCAAACAAAGATTCCTGATTTATTGGATTCCCTTTTCCACCACCTTTATCTCCCCCATTGTTCCAGGATTTAACCAGGAAAGGAAAAGGTTTCCTCTGCCTCTTCCCATTTATTTCCCCAGCAAACCAACACCACAGGGATTTTTTTCCCAACATTCCATCCATGTAAGATTCCACAAATTCTGTTCCACAGAACAGTCAGATTTCTTTTTTCAAGTTTTTTGGTGTTTTATTTTTAATTTTAGAGGTGAAGAAACCACCAAATTCAGCCACAAATTCTGCATAACCCATGGCATTTTTCCCACTCGCATTCAGGACCTTCCTAAAGAGATCCAAAGGAATTTTATCCAGGGAAAACAAGCCTATAATTTTGAAGCAATAACCTTTTGACTTGCAACATAATCCCCCTCCTCCTCAGCCCTTAATTCAGCCATAAACTGGATTATTTATTCCCCCCACTCCCAGATTTCTCAGGTTTCCTAAACTCGGAGCCTCTTCCCATTTATTTCCCCAGCAAACAAACACCATAGGGATTTTCTTTCCCAACACTCCATCCATGGAAAATTCCACAAATTCTGTTCCAAAGAACAGTCAGAGCATTTTTTTCAAGCATTTTTCAGTTATTTTTTAATTTTAGAGGTGGAGAAACGACCAAGTCCAGCCACAAATCCTGGACAACTCACAACATTTTCCCACTTGCATTCAGGACTTTCCTAAAGAGATCCAAAGGAATTTTATCCCTGCAATTCAAGTCTATAATTTTGAAGCAACAGCCTTTAAATTTACAACACAATCCCACTCCTCCTCAGCCCTTAATTCAGCCACAAACTGAATTATTTAT